TCCAGTTGCAGTTTCCAACACTTGTTTCCGTCGATCAACAATCAGTTTGGACAGTGTTCAGGGTTAAGGATTTGACTTGTGTTTAGGGTGTCCGCGCGTGTACTGCGTTATGACCCTCTCGGGCTCTTGTCGAGAGCGTTGTGCACAAAGGAGTGACTCACTCAAGGTCCTTGTAAAATATATATAGAGAGTGACAGACATGATCAAGAATAGCCTTCTGCCCCAGGTCTGTCATACCCATATGCATCACATTTGCATTCCCTTCTCGGAGATCTCGGAGATCTCGGAGATCTGTATCCTGCTGAGTACACACACAAACAGCCCCCCGAGATACGATCTACGAGGCCCTCCGTTCATATCACCAGGCACAATGGCAACAAATCTAAGAAATATTCATCATTTTTAAAATCCTCTCAATTCCCAGATTCATCGAATTTATATCTAAATTTGAGGTTACCAATAATCTACCATGGAACTCGACTGAGTCTTAACAATCACCCCCCTCGAGAAAATGTAATCACCGAATTCTCAAGCAGCCCGAAACAGAGAAAGGTCCTAAAAAAAATACTCAGCAACGATCAACATTGCATCAGAGCCACGTCATCAAGACTCTTGACGAACAACTCTGGTAAAAAGCATCAGCTAAATACTTCGAACGAAATCCTCGCACAAAATCATGTTTCAAGTCATTGACCAACTTCGAATATGTCTCGGAAGCACATCGACCTCAACCATGCCTTACCAAAATATGTCACACCCTGCCTCCAATACATCGTTCCGAACAACCACCAATCAATACCAAATACTCCGGAGTACGGCAAAAATAGACAAAGAAAAGTGAAAACCCCAGCGCGAATAAAAACGCCAGAGGAAAGTTCACCAATTATAATGCCGTTTCTCAAACATCGAGATATGGAGTTCCCAACAGCCGCCCACTGCCGCATTATCCCCCCCAGAAACTAATCTTAACACCCCTGCTGCATTAGACTATCTCCCAAACAAAAACTCTTGACGGCCCCCCTGCTGCAATATCTCCCCAATAACTAAGATAAAATCTTTCCATCGAGTACTTTTTCTTCATAACAAGAAACAGCGTGCAAAATGTTTGTCGATTGACACCCCGCCTTCAGCATATCTCCGACCATGGAATTCAATCCGTCCTACACAGCAGAAACTGCAAGAAACAACTCAACTCTCGAATCCTAACAACGAGAAATCTAACAACTGTCATGAAGCTACCTCCGAACTCCGCAGGTAAAACACGGAATCGCGAACAAACAAGAGTTGTGGATTTTCCTCGTTTTCCGCAGGAGTAACGCGGAAAACGAACAAACAAACCCGGACGTCCGCTAGAACTCTGCTTGTACTGCGGCGAAGAAAATCGCACTTCAGGATCACATTCATCCCCCCCCATTTTCGACAGCAGTGCTAGCACACATCAACTGCACCGTTCGGCCCGGTGAATTCTAGACTCTGCCCAACCACATCATCAACAAGTGAAAAGCACAATGTATACCACAGACCATAAATACCGCGTTCGTTCGTGCGCATCGCAACACAACAGTCTACGTCGATGAAGTTCTCAAACTCATGGTTTTCAACAAGCAAAATAGGCCCGAACCAAGAAAGTACACAGGCAAATCACATAATACTTTTCACAACTCGTAAACGTGCCTGAATCGCGTGTAGACCCGTCGTGCAACCACCGGTCATCCCGCACGGTAGCTCCCGAGCACGAAGCCTGTCAATTCATGCGGCACACTTCGTGCCACGATCGAATGTACATCCCTGGCATTACCTCCCATCGTCCCGCACCATGCACATACCACTGACACGGTCGGATGGGCGCAGGGATGCCCCGCACCAGCAGACAGCACCACGATGCTGCCGTCGCCGCCGCCGCCGCTGCTTTTGACCCCTTCGTCGCCATTCATTGTCCAACCAACAGCTACAAATCCTCATCGCACGCGTCCTCCGTCTCTTGAGCTGCTGGTACCGGTGTAGCTGCTGATGTGGGCACTGCGACGCCTCCCTTAGTCGATAAAGCGGGGGCTACCGGGCCGCCGGTCGACGACGCCTCCAGTGCCATCATTCCCGTTGTTGACGACGCCCCGGCGGTTCCCTCATCAACGAGTCCAGCAAAAGTCTGCTGCCGGGGGTCGCCGCTCTCGCCGCCGGTGCTTGCGCCGATGCTGCTGCTCCCGCCGCGAGTGCCTGCTCCCCGGCCGCCTCCCCCACCGCCGCCGCGGGGAAGACTCTGCTGCCGGAGGTCGCCGAATTCGCCACCGGTGCTGCTGCCGATGCCGCCGATCCAGCGGCGAGCGCCTGCGCCCCGACCCTCCCCCCCGCCGTCGCAGCAGGGAAACCACCACCACCGGTCACCACCGGTCGCCGCTCCCGCCGCAGTTGCTGTGCTCCATGCCACCGCTCCAGCTGCAAATATGGGGAGCAGCGCCTCCGGTTGATGCACTTGCATCCTCCAGCGTCATCGCTTCCGTTGCTGGTACGGCATAAGGTCGTTGTAAGTCACGTTGAGACCCTCTCCATCACCGACATGCACGTGCTGTTGCATGCGGCCGATTGTACAACACATGCGGCGCCGATGGCCGCAGGCAGTGCAGTTGCCTTCAAAGCGTCGCGGCGCATTGCAGTCGCCAAGCGAGTGTCCATGCCTCCCGCACCTCACGCACTGATGAACGGCACCCATCGGAGCGCCTGGCGGCGGAGCTGACTCCTCCTGCGGGAAAACGGAGCTGTCATAGAGCCCCCCACATCCCCACGTCGGGAAGGTAGGAGGTGGGTGGTATGTAGGTGGTGGTTGTGGATGAACCCTGCCGCTGCTGCCGGTGCTGCCGCCACCGCCGTTGTTGCCCCCTCTGACGGTCGCCGCCATGGCCGTATCCAATACCGCCGTCTGTCACTGCTGCCGCCGATGGCGCCTGCGCTTTGCCCAATTCCTCTATCACGACGATGTTTGCGCATGCCGTGCGAACAACGGTTTCCACGTTCGCTCGGGAAATGGTGGGGTCGGCCAGGATGGAAGTGCGTTCGATATAGATTCGTGCTCAAGCTGGCGGACAACGATGTGCACGATTTCTCGCTCAGACTTAACATTGCCAACAGTCTCATGATGTTGACGAATCCGTCTACTCTGGCGAAGAAGCTTCGGGTCCTCACCGGGATACATCTCAAGGGTCTCTAACCGTCGCGCAAGCAGTGTCTGTTCAGCATCACTAGTGGACAAAGACCATTCACGGATATCGGTCCACGCTCCGGCACGCAGCTGCATGCAAACAACGTTTCTTCGACGTCCGATCTTCAAGTTGCCTCCAAAAGGTACGCCCACGCCCGCTGGTGAGCTGTCACGGTTCAGGTAGTTGCGGTCCGGACAACTGATGATATGGACGTAACCAGTACGGGGTGTGTGGTCAAGGGTTTGACACTGAGGAAAGCACGCAGCCTCCGTGACCAACTCATGAACTTGCTTGGTTCGGTTGGGTGCTTCGGCTGGTTGCGAGTGACACCAAAACGACCGATCAATAAATGACTACCGCTGTCGGCCATGCTCACCGTTTGAGAACCAAGTCCTGCTCCGCCATGGCCCCCAGCACGAGCCGCATCTGCAGCCGTAGCCCGCTTCCTCCTTCCTCCATTTCCCCGCACCTTCTTCCTTTCTTCCTCCACCTCTTGTCGGGCCCCTGCAGCTTCACGATCTCCGCCTTTGCCTATTCAAACCTCCGCTCAACCTTTTTCTGTTTCGGCTCGTATTCCAAACTAGGTTCCCTGGATCTCCTTGACGCGCTCAATGGTAATAACCGCCCTGTAGCCGCTGTCCTTGAATTCCGGTGCCTATCTCCCGAACCTTTCCCTACCGATGTCAGCTGACTCCACGATACGATATATCGTGATTAGGGTGTCGGCGCGTGTACTGCGTTATCCCCTCACGGGCTCTTGTCGAGAGCGTTTCGCACAAAGGAGTGGCTCAAGTTCCTTTTACAGAGAGAGTTGCAGACAAGAGCAAGAGGGTAGAAGAGCCTGCTGCGCCTCTTGTCTGTCTGTCATACCCACATCTATCACATCTAGGTATCCCCCTCGGAGATGTCGGATATCTGCATCTTGCCGAGTACACACACAAACAACGTGGTCCTTGGTAAAAAAACAATACTATGGTGAACCATCGCCCCCCCCGGCCACTGAGGGCGGGGGGGGGGCAGAAGGTGACAGTGTATAGTGTAGAGGTCGAGTAGGTCTACAAGTGCGGCCGAGTGTACTGCGCGTCTTCTGCTCGATCTGTCAATTATTTGCGACGTGTGCCGGCCTTCATCATGACGGTTGCGCATTATGGAACTCGTGTGTTTCACAGGAAACGAAAATTCGAGGGTACAGTAGCATATTTTCTAGTTTAACGACCATTTCTTCTCTGAACTGTATACATGCAAATAAATACGTCCTCCCTTGGAAATTACTTTGAAGGTGAATCTGTTGGTGGAAGTTGTTTGTGATATGACTTTCGTCCGTGCGGCTCGTAGGGTATAGTTTCTTCACATGTTCAAAATTTGTACGAACGAACGTGAATGGACGCCAGCATCGTTACGAATACATGTGGCCGTGTGCTGAGATTCTAGAAGCAAACGTATTAGATGAAGAATCATTTGACCCGCGTTTGCTCACAACCAATCAATACGAATTTACGAACCTTGGTGAGGAATACTTTGGTCTTTGGTATTTGCCCTGTGCATGTTGCTTCGAAACCCCACCCCAACCCTTCTCAGAAAGATTCTGCGCCCGTACGCCCAATTGTTGCTCGCAAACTTTTCACAGACCATCGGTTACAATTTGGGCCCATGAGGGATCCTCGTGCGGTGGCTGTCAGCTCCTACTTCCACCACGTAAACAGCAAAAAAGGGGGCGAGAATTTCCTGAAACGGCGCCCCTCTTTGGACGAGGCCGTTTTGGAGGTTCTCCCGCAACTTTGCCACTTGACCACTCTACGCCACATCATGTTCGAGGGTCTACTGTCCGACAGGAGCGAAATGTTTTGGTACGAAGAAACCCTCGAAGACCCCTTTGCCTGGCACTACCGCTGGGCGTCATTCGCCGGGCTGATTCTCCCTCGAGCCTGGATCGACGGCATGGTAGCGGTAAATCAAGAGCGACTGTTTTTCAACCGTCACCCCGGAGGAGGAAAGCGTACAGCCAAGAGGACCTGGCGGGACGAGGTTTCCCCAGGGATACATCATGACATGGAATCTATCCTTCGGAAGTGGTTGCCCCCAGTGCTTCTAGCGCGATTTGAAGTTCCACCTTGAAGTATCGACGATTTGTGTTTGTAGCTGCGGTGGTTGTTCGTCCAACAAAAAAGCTGTTTTGCGTCAGATATTATAGCTTGCATGCACCACGCAGCCTTCCCGCAGCAGAAATTACCTGAAAGCACAACCGCAAAGACTGTTTTCCTCGCCTCGCGGTGGACAACTGCAATTGGACAGTGCTGTTTCTTCACAAAATGGCGGAAATCGGGTGGTTGCCTCTTGAATGCTTGTGGGACGTGTGAAAGGCCTTGAAAGGTAACTGCGCGGGGTGCAGCAAGCCCGTCCTGGGCGTTCGTTCTCTCGCTTCTACTTCCTCAGTGTGTAGTTGTTTACCATGCTTTGGTGGTGTCCGTCTCATCCAAGGCTATCTCCCACGAAGAAATCACAAGACGACTCCCTGTGCCACGCCACCACCACGACGGGGAAAGCTCCTCTGCCATCGGCCGTGGCTGTCTCCCTTATGCCCTTCGGCCAGACTATTCTTTCCGACAACGAGTAAATATTGGCTTGTGGGATCCGCGGTTCTTCGTTTGAGAAGAAAAACGTACAACCTCTGGGGTTCACGGTTTGACAGTCTAGATACAGGCGTATGCAGTAGCGCTTTCTCCAGACGACGTGAAAGTAAAAGCGCCTTCTTGGTGTTGAAGACACGTGTTCTGGCTGGTCCTGGTCTCTCTAGAACTAAGAACTCTGTGATTGACACGATGGAATCGAGCCCATGCCACGAAGCACATGCAAACCATGGGCGACAATGACAATTGTGGTTGTCTCCTGTCACTGGGCTGTGCCGGTTTACGTTGTTAACCCTCAGTTGATAGCTTCTGATGGTCCTCTGGTGGTCCTCTGTTGATCTTTTGGATGGGTATGTTGCGGGGCAGGCCAATAGAGAACCATTGCCTCTTGCGCAAAGGTAACAATACTTGACTGTGTGTTTGAAATATTGGCTTGATTTTCTGTACGAAGGGAGAACGCGAGCCTTTCTTATTTTCTCCTTGAAGCTTGTGCTCGGGGCCGTTACATCAACAAAACGTTTGCCTCGAAGAGGAGTTTGGCAAAAAATATGGACATGCGGTGGCCGTCGCCATCTTGTATCCACCAAATGATGATGTATCCACAATTTATGATGTACTCGTTGCACAATAACAGTAGATTCCACATGCGATCGAGCTTCAACTGCTAGGTCCTATATGGCCGAGAGAGAGAGAGAGAAGTGGAGAAAGAGTGTGGGAGAAGGAAACTCGATGGAAGAGACACAGACGGCGGTGGAGGTGGAGAGAGACACAGGAAGTGTTACAGATGTGCACAAGCCGCATCGCACCCACCATCCATGTCTAACCTGCCTCAATAGCGAAACGTCCTTCACTGCTATCACCAAGCACGACGTACTCTGCTTGTTGTGTCGTCGAATGTCTTCCCGGTTGGCGAGGAGCGTGGCAAATACGAGCCGTAAGCCCGCTCCTCCACTCCCCGGGTCCACCGCTACGAGTGCTCCCTCCGGCTCTCCGGCCTCCGCTTCTCCCGGCTCCCTGCGCTCCTCATCCACCACGCTCCGGACCTCCAGCATCGACACCAGAGTGTTCTTGTTCAGCATCGAGACGAGACCTGTGCTCGGCCCGACTCCCGATCTCGTGCGGCCTGGCAGATGCGGGTCTGCCATACCCTCCGCTTTCTTAGCCGGGTGAAGCTGCCACACGGCGTGAGCCATGAGGAGGGGCATCGCGGCGTCCGGAGGCGGCGGCGGCTGACCTGGAGCGGGGGTCACCGAAGGTTACGGCGAAGCGGCAGAGGGCGGTTGGCCAGGAGCGGGGGTCATCGACGGTGACGGTGAAGCGGCAGAGGGCGGCGGGGAAGGCGCGGGAGCAGGCGACGGCGTCGACGCTGGCGGTGGCCTTGCCGCGGTCAGCGGCGCGATAGACCGGTTCGACGGCGTCGGGGGTAGACCGAAGTTGATCGAGACAGCCGGCGGCGTGCACGCGGGAGGTGTCGGTGCAGCGGGGATATCAGAAGAATCCCCTCGCGGGTTGTCGCCGACGTCGCCCACGACACGCTGTGGGTGTAGACGACGCGGCTGGTGGACGCCTCGAGGACCTTGACGGTGCCGCTCGGGTGATTGTCGCTGCCGTTGAGGTAGTACCACAGCGTTGGCTGGTCGAGCTTGGTACGGCGCTCCTTACGCATGAAACTCGGCTGAAAGGCGGGCGGCACGCGGAACGGCCCCTGCTCACCGGTGAACATCTCGTGCGGCGAGCATCTCCCGGGGTTGGTCTTTGTCGCCGACTGGTTGACAGCGTTGGCGCCCCATTTCGCCGTTTCCATCCAAAGACGGTCACCGCGCTCGTCGAGGTCGGGGATGGATAGGAAGCCGACGTTGAACACACGGCCAGCGCTTCGGTGAGCGGCCATGCCGGCCTTCATGATGCGCACAGATGGCACTCTCGACGGCGTTGCTGTACGTGAACTTGTATACCACTAAACGGGTAAGTGTCGCCCATGATGGGTATTGATTTGTGGTCTGTATTTCTTCCCTACGGATCGCGGAAGCTGTGGTGCGTTGGATCCAGATGTAACTGTTGAACAACTGTTTACTCGAAACTGTTTCATAAGAACCTGCTACTCTCAACGTAGGTTGAACAATCGAGAACAATAAACGGTGTCCTTTGTAGTGGGCCCTCTGCGTAGGGGTATGCATAAGAACCCCGTATTTCATAGGCGGATGCCAGCTGGAAAAACGAGCTTTGAAAAAGAGCGTCTAGTCTCGGCCAAAATAAGCAGTTCTTAAGTACGGGCGCCGACTGTATACGGCGAGGTCCAAAGTAGTCCAGGCTGATGGCCCCACCCGGCCCTGACGGAAGTGGAATGGTGAGAATTGACCATCGTACAGTTTTTATCTGGCGGTTTTGCGGCCATGCAGCGCAGCATTGTGAGGAGCAGAAGCAGGTGCAAGCGTTCATCATGCCACTCCATCAATCTAGTTGCTCCCGAGCTGGGTGTTGTGGCAACTCCAAGGTGGTATGAAGTGTTGGAGAGGCCTTCGAGCACCACCCAAGGGCGCATGCACTCAGGCACATAAATATTGAGGGAAGATTAATCGTTGAGGAGGCATGCAGCTCTGTACTGCTAGAGCGCTGGGCGTCCGAACGAGATGGTTTGGTGAGTTGGTGGGCCAAGTCCAAGCTCTTCTTAGATTGGGTAGGCGATCACTGTCCGTACTTGCTTGTCTGTTCTTCGGGTTAGGGTTGGGGTTACCACGACGTCGTTACGCCCCGTCTCTCATCATGATGAAAACAACGGCAATCTTCGAGGATTGGCACGTTCAAATGAGGCAAGCTGCATTGCCATCGCAGTATAAGAATACGGCATCGGGATGACGGTCGCCTACACGGTTCTATGTACCTCCGAAAAGAGGTTGCACGTGTAGCTAGCGTCCAAGACAGCGACCAACCTCGAGCCTTGGAACTCACTAGGAAGCTGCTGCGTGCAAATATTACATGATCGGGCACAGGTTTATGCACCTCTTACGACACAACAGTTCCCTTGCCACCGACATTACCGCCGCCTAAACAACAGGAACAATTTGGGATTACAACTAAACCCCCTCACGAGCAGCCCCTTCTCGGTAGACGCATCACCACCGATACTACCTGGAGAGTAAGGGTTTGTTTGATCGGCCAACAACCTGGGGTATCATCTATCACAATCTTGGTGAAACGCGCGATGGGTATCCATGTGCTTTGTCACATCGAAAAGACGACCCATGGTGGTGATCGTTAGCCCTCTACACCAAATACTTTATCCCGTTTGCTTACATATCCTGCACGCGCACATAATCCCCCCCCCGTTGTGTCAAAATGGTCAAGCACCCATGGATGACCCATGGGCAACAAAGTGCCCATGGGCGGTTTAACAGAACTGTAGGAGGTGTGGGAGACCCGGGGGGAGGGGGGCTATGTGTCTGGAGTTTTTCCCGCGTGCACCCTTGCGAAAACCAACGAAATTTGTGCGACCTGGTCATGTATCACGCCGGTTGTATCCCATACCGCATCGATACATCGGGGATATGTATCCGATATATATCCGGATATCGTATCGATATCGCACGATACAGGAAATGGATTGGATACGATTCTCATGGGGGTATGCATGAGAAGATTGCGGGTGTCTGTCATCTGTCGGTGGTCTCCACAGCTCCACAGCACCAGCAGCGCCAGCGATGATGCAAACCATGCAAGGGCCGAACGCCAAAGCGCTGACGACTTGGCGTTAAACCCGGGGATACATGGGTACATGCCCCTCCCCCCGCCCCCATCTTGGGTTGGGTGTTTGTCGCGTGGCAACGACGTTGTAAGACAAGCCGCCGCCCCCGGTGTTTGTCATCGGGGTTGGACTTCGTCGCTTGGCAATGACATTGCACAAACAAGCCTCACTCCGCGCAAAGGGGATGATCCCACCACGTTGTGTTAAATTGGTCGAGCACCCTCGAGGCAGTTACACAGTGCGTATACCTTTCTCTGGAAGTCAAAGCAACAGAAAATAAATTACGTAATACGCAGCTGTCATTCGTACGCAAGGGATTAAGCACAAGATTCCGAACACCCTCACCAGGATGCAGTGCACCCTTCATGCGACTCGCCGAATACCTCACGGCGCTTCGCGCTTGGTCATGTGAGAGCCTGGTCCTGTGAGAACCCGGCGTGCTCCGTCCCGGCTTTGTAGGGATGCGAGGTCAATGGTCTGGCGACTACGGCATGCACGACTATGAGTACACCGCCCCCCTCCCCACGGACCCCGATTATCGAATAGAAGGCTTAGGTGTCTTGAAGTTTTCTTCACGTGCACCATTGGGTTTTACGAACTTTTATTTCGGGGGAGTACATCGAGCGCCATTCATCGATCAGGAGTCTCCCGAAGGCACCCTGTGCCACTTTTTTTTCTTGGCCCCAACCACGGTGTGCGTTTTGTACCAAGCTGGCACTCGCTCGCGTACCCTTTCGCATCGACAAATATGAACAACCCACAGATCTATCGGTGATGGAAGAGAGGTCGGCGAGTTAAAGCTGTCACAAGCAAGGAAGGAATCGGGGAAACATTGTCGGGTCTCCGACACTGTCGGTGGTTTCGTGAAACCGCCGATGAGGCACCCA